AAAAGCAATGTTTCAGAGACTGGAAATAGATGTTTCTGTACCACCGTACAATTTGCAGAATCTTGCTGGACTGAACTGATCTACTGAAGAGGGGTTTGGAGTGTTTTCTTGAAACATGTATACCTATGCTACAGAACCTGCATCAGGAACTTAAATATTTCCCTTTTCTGGTCCTTTTTTAGATTCCAAAATGAACTTGGATGATTTCATCAGTATGAATCCTGAAGTGGGATGGGGCTCAGTGTTCTCCCTTTCAGACTTTGTGCATCGATTTGGCAGTCAGACCGATTACAGCTATTCCTTGGAAGGACAGTAAAGTGAACAAAGTTCTTCTGGTTCTGAGTGGATGTGTTTTGTTTTGCTGCTCTTACATTGTATTTATGGTTTACATTTCTGTACATGGAATTGGTGTTTGGGAAAATAGAACACCCAGTCAGAAATATCATTAACTGAATAAAAACCTTTATTTTAATTATGTATGAATGCACTTGGTTCTTAATGGCAAATCAAAGGCAGACGTGCCACCATAACCATATTGCTTTTCCAGCTACTGTGCCCAAACTGAAAAGAGCTGCAAAAAAAAAAGCTTTTGGAAAAATATGTGCATAAAATACTGAATATTGTAGCCTAAATTGCTACATGTTGTCACATTTTAAAAGTGAGATACAGTTTTCTTCATGTTATGATTGCTGTCAATTATATATAAACAGACAGTGCATCTCAGTTTCCTCACTAGCTTTGCTGATTAGTCCTTATTTAGCAGAAGTGTAAAGGGAAAATTGATTTAGTAGTTCAGTTGTGAAATCCCATGCTCTATGTAAAATCAGGTAAGTATCTAGGGTTCTGTGCTGTACAAGGGGAGAATTAAATCCTGCCATTTCAGTTAAATGTTCTAGTGCTGACAGTTCCTGGAATATAGAATTGCTATTTTTTCTTCTCATGCTGGCTGTGCGTGCTCCCATCTTCTTGCACTTGGTGTTTGCTTGGCCTTGTGGTAATTCAGGGTAATTATGACAGAAAGCAGGAAGTTTTGTTGAGGGCTTTTTTTCTGCCTCTTGGTTCCTTGAGCTGGCCTGCCATGAGGTCAGACAGCTGCTCCTGCTGGTGTAAGGAAATCAGCAGGGCCATATGGCTGGGGGGAAGGGAGTGAGAAAGGGTTCTCTGCTGCTGAATATCCTTAGAGGTGATACCAAGCGGCATCCATGCAGGGCACGCCAGGAAAGCCATCATGCTGACTGAGGGTTTGGAGCAGTCTTACACTTAGAAGAGTGCCCTAAACATGGAATTGCAGAAACAGGCTAAAATGAGGTTTTTAACTGCCAGCTTTGGACCTGTTCTACTTTATATTCTAGCACATCATAGACTCACAAACTGGTAGAAGAACACAGGTTAGAAGGGTCAGGCAGTTGCTGGTCCAATTTCCTGTTCAAATCAGGTCAGACCAGGCTGCTCAGGGCTTTAGCCAGTCAGGCCTTGGAAACCTACTGGGACTGACAACAAACATTTGTGATATACTTCATTCCTGTGAGGAAAAGCACGGCAAAGATTTTAAATATTAAGGAATAATTTTATTTGTAAGTAAAGAAAAATATCAAAACCTGTAAGAATCTTGTATGTATTACATAGGTTTATTGTTACATATGCAGTGTATTACTGTATCTCTCATCTGTTCTAGAGAATTTACTCAGTATATTAAGAGCAGAGACAGCCAGTTGAACAGCTGTGGGATTGATTCACTTCATTCAGACATCTCTTTCTGTATCATAAGGGCTGCTGAATATAGGAATGTAAACTTTCTATTGCCAGATGCAGCACAGTTGGTTGCCTGTGCAGATAGGCTGCTACTACACATATTCCTTGAGTGCCAGCAGGAACTAGTTAGGAGGCCGGTTGTTGGGACACTCCCCTCTGGAGTGGGACAGTTGGTCTGCAGTTTCTGTCATTCTGAACCAGTGTCACGAGAAGAAACTGAGATGAAACTTGGGATTCCTGATGAACTGGTGCACAGAACCCTCTGGAGAGGGGAAAGCTGGATTTAACCAGATACTCCTGTGTAAAAGGTCTGATGTATCCATGTTTGGATGAAATAGCAGCTCTTTCTGCTTGGTGCTGATGTAGCAGGCACTCTGAGGGAATGAAGATGTTACTGCTTTTGAGTGATGTTAAGGCTGGTTATGACAGAGCAGAGCAGCAGCAGTTTGCCTGCTCAGCTCCACGTAGCTGCCGATGCACTGGGTTAGACACAGCAAAAGTGAGAACGTAAAGATCCATGTTTCAGGTGAACAGGTTGTGGTAAGCACTTCTTACCCTTCAAGTGGTTGAATCTCATAGACACAGAGTTCCTGTGCATTGCTTAACAGGCCCTTTTAAGTTGTTACAGAACATGAGGTTCTCATCCCTCCCTACTTGAGTATGTCATTTGATTTAACCTCAGCTGGTTTCCGGTGCCTGAAATCCATGACACACTCCCTTTAGTGGGGGTCAAGACACAAGAATCTGCCTGGTTTAATCTAGTTTCAGCATCAAGGCTGTTAAGAAGAACAGTCACAACCATTATTCAGAATATACAAGTTTAAAAAGAAGATCAATGTGAAGAGTTAGTCCTTTTTCTCTGTAATCATTCTGAGCAGGTGCTTAATTTTACATTTAGCAGGCTGTGTGTGTGTGATTATAGCTTTTCTATAATTAACCACCTTTTTGTGGCTCTTGTAAAAAGTTGTCATTCCAGAGGGATAAGTAGAAGCCAGAGAATTATTTAATTCAATGCTGAGGATGGTGATAGTGTGGTGCTGTCTCTCTAGCCCATCAAATGTAGGGGCATTTCATCATCTTTCAGATGGCATGGTATCAGAAGGAAAGAATTCAGAAATACATTAAGTGCTCATTTACAGTCCAAAATACAAAGATAAGCTACTTGCTTCACTGTAATTATCAGAAACCAGCTCTTTTCTGATTCTGATTAGTCCTAGTGTCCTGTCAGAGGGACTAAGTGACTTCCTTCCTCTCTTTGGTCCTTTCTCCAGGTAACCCTAGTCCTGACTATTTTGTGGAACTTGCTGTATTTAACCTCTGCTGTCAACCCATGTTTGGTGCATGAGGTGGTCCCACCAGTGTGGTTTCCCCACTGAACACCACAGTAAGTTGCAGACAGAAAAGCAAAGTCTGTTGAGATCACTTTGCCATGTACCTGCAGAAGTACAAGCAAACAACTTCCATTGTAAATCTGATGGCAAAGAGGCAACTTCATTGCCAGACACCACTAATTATCACCTCTGTGACCAGTGATGTATTTAAACACCTAAGATTCAAGCAACTTCATGCTCCAGTCATGTACGTGTGTCGTACATTGTGTGGCAGAGCACAACTGCTTGGAGCTTGGGTGAAGCTCCAGGCTGGCCAGTGCAGCCACCCAGCTTAAGTGAGAGCTTCACTCCTTGATACAGGGGAACTGGGCTCAGGCCACTGAGAGATAGGAAGTAATAGGAAAGCACTGATGGCTGATTTCCTGGGGTGCTCTGGCACAACAGGATCAGCCTGTGCTCACTGACACTCCGTGGTGTCCATAGCCCTTGGGACTTTTATTTCTTACTGCGTCCAGATGCTGTCCCTCTGTGTCCGGGACAAAGATGTACTGCACTTTCAGTACAATGATTTCCCAGTGCAGCTTAGCTTCTCATTCCCTTTCTGCCTTCTTTACCTTGTCCTTTTCCACAGTGGTGTCTTTCTGTTGTCCAGTTGTTAGAGTTTTTATGAGCTTAGAGCCCCTATGTGGCTTTTTGGACAAGGTGATCCTTGAGTCAGGCATTGAAGAAAGCAGGGAGAAACCCTCCTGCCGTCAGGTCAGTTACTCACAATCCCATGGTCTCCCAGCTTCTGTATTCTGTTGATCACTGGAAATACTCCAAGCCTTTTACTTCTAGACATCATAGGGTGAGACTAATAGCCTTATAATAGGGCCATATCCCATCTCACAGGTAGCTCCTCCCATCTCCAGCCGGCTATTGCAGCAGTAAGCTGCAGTATGAGATGGAATACCCACATCTCTCCTGCCTTTTTCTTTGCTGCTGCTTTTTACCTAAGAATATAGTTTATTTGGTAGCTAACCTCTTTTATTCAGCTGTTTGTGGCTTTAGAAAAATAGACAATTTTTTTCTGGCATGCATTTGCTTGGTCAGTGCATTTTTGCAAACTTGTAAGTGACCAGGTCTGTCTTGAGAAAATGCCATTTCTCAGTTGGCCAGCAGAGAGAGCAGTCAGCATTCAGTGGATGTGCAGGTCGGGACACGGACAGATGTACACACAGCCCTTCCAGTAGCTGTTACAGTTAAAAATGAGTCATTCTGAAGGCATTGCAGAAGTGATTTGTATCTTGCAAGGTTGTGGCTGAAGGCTGAGATATTGCCCTCGACTGCCTGAGCCTGTAATGTCAGTGCAAGCCCTTCCTGCACACCAGGGGCTATATGGCAGCATCATCACACCACGTGCTGGTTTGGGGGGATCTGGTCAGCAGTCAGTCCCTGCCAAAATGGGGCTGTGACACCTTAGGATGTCAGACCAATTGGCTTGCTAACAGTTTATGTTTAAATACCTGGGGATGCTGCCATCTGATCTGGGATGTTCAGGAAGCAAAGGGGAAATGGGGTGCGTTTGTATGAATCAAATTCCATGATGAGAGCCTTAGTCAGGACATTTTGACATGTGTGGCCTCCTTTCCTCATACCCTTATTGTCTAGCCAGAGCCTCATGCATGCTCTGAAGCACCACTGCTCTCCAAGCTTCTACTGTAAAATGGCCATCTGTAGTTGGTTGGGTTTCCCTTGTTAGAACGTGTTTGGTTCAAATTTTCTCACTTTTCACATTTTTTTCCCTTATCTTTTTAGGAAACAAGTGTTGTAGACTAAATGACTTGAGAAAACTGTACCAGGGAGTACGAATGAGGTGTGAAAATACCACCATGTCCCTACAGTAGTCACAGTTACTTTGCACTGTGTGTCTTGCAGAACCATTACTGAGACACTGTCCCTGACCCAGGTGGCAGCTGTCCCCCACACCTGGCATGAGCCACACTGCTGGAGGGGAGGATCTGCAGAGCATCACTTCACATGTCACCCAGCAGAGCACAGGGCTCCAAGTTTGGTGGGGTTGCCCTCCTATGACACTTTGGATTCCCAGGCTTGAAGAATCTCATCTCCTCTCAAAGCGAAACCTGTCTGGATGTCTGTCTCTCTTCAGGTAATTACCTTCTCAGAAATTTGAAGGAGACAATGCTGGTGATTTTCTTCTGCCTTCTGGCTTTCTCCTTATGCAGGACTTGGCCTAATTGAGGCCAAGGTTAATGAAGCACACCCGAGGAGGGAGTGTCTGGAGACATCTTCCCAGGTTTGTGCGCACCTCTCTGTGGAACTCACCTATTTTCGTTTATGATCATGGAGTCAGAAGTGAAGCACTCTATACAGATGCAGCCTTTCAGCAAGTTAAATACAGCTGCAGTAGTGGTTCTGGAAAATCTCTTCAGTTTGACCTAAGATAAACAAATATGGTTGTTTAAGTATCCTCAATGTTTCCTTATACTTACAGTAGGAAATACCTTGGATACTGAGGGCAATTAAAACAAATCTTAGTTATCTAAGGCCTCTGGCAAGTCCCTGAGTTTCTGAGTGAGCTAAGCCACTTCCTAGGCATGAGGTGTACCAAGGTTCGTTTTATAGTCATAAAAATAAGCATTAAGGACCTGAGCTGTGAACTGCCACTCACAAAGTCCAACTGAAGTGACATTATTCACCTGATACTCATGACGAATGTCTGCTTCCTGCACTGGAAGATGAGCAGGATGTTTCCAGTGAGCTGGATTCCTGACATTATATTACTTAAAAGCAGGAAATGCTCATTTTGCTTGGTTCAGCATCATGCCAGCCTTCCCATGCAAGGCTATATCTGGAACCCAAACACTGCAATAAGGCAGGAATCATTATATGTTATTTTTTTTTCAAACAGCCTACACAGTAAGAAGATGGTAGTTATCTCAGCCTTCCCTTCTTTTTAGTATGCAATTGTGGTGGCGTGCTTCCCCCTGTCTCAGCTTGGCTGCTGAAATGGCAGCGCACCAGCTCCATGCTTGGAGCCATCCCGAGAAAATGTTCTGCTGTAGTTTTTAACCATTTAGCTGTAAAGCTCCTGCCACTTCCACCGTTCTAACTGCTGGGCTGAAGCAAGGCTTGCCAGTCCTTGTTTATAGCAAGCATAATCAGTTCCACTATTTATACTGTACTCATCACAGAGCACTTTGCTGTATGAAATGGTCACAGTTACATTTATATCAGTACAAAAACAAAATCATTACAAATTGAGGAGGCAACATTCAGAGTAATTTTTCCTTGCTACCTGACGCTGTTTCTTCAGCTATTCAAACTTTTTTCAGGCAGAGTCACTCTCTTAGGAAGAAAATACAGTCCACTCTACCTCAGGAATCCCACCAGTATTTATCTGCACTTGTGTTTTTGTCTTGCATGAAGGAAATGCAACTAGTTGCTACCAGTTGCTACTTCGGTACAAATATGCAGGGCCACCAGCAAAGTCCATGGAGTTGTCTTAGTACAACTAAAAGCAGAGTTCAATCATCTTTGCCAGTGGTACTAAAAGTACCTTTTAATATGCTAAGGTATGTGTCTGGCCAGGAGTTGTTTTCAAATGCATTGTCCATGAAGTTCCCATAAAGTAAACAGAGCTCGATACGCTCAGTCCTGAGGTGCAAAATAACCAGTGCTGTGGGGTCCAGCTGTTCTCCTTGCTGGTGTCATCAGCAGGGTGCTCCCCCTGCCTTGTTCACAGCAGTGGACTGGGAAGGAGGGACTCGGGGAAGATTTGCAGGCCCTGTCTGCCATATTTATCAGAGATCCTTTACAGGGTAGATAGTTTACTTAATCATCATTCTCATTTAACTTATTTGATAATTATTAAATAAAGCACTCCAGGTTCGGTACTTTTGAGATCTGAAAGACCAAGTGAGGGACACTGTTGCCAGCAAAGAAGACACACACACATTTCCAGCATCGCCTGCTTGCCAGCCTTTCCGTGCTGTCATGGTGCATGGAGGTCAGATCCATGCACAGAGGCAAAGCCCCAGTCCCCTCTGAGCTGGTGCCAAGGGCTGTGTGAGCAGGGGCACCTTTTCCAAGGCACAGAGCCTGATGAAACCTTTCTGCCAATGTTCTCTGTAGCCCTACTGCTTTGAACTGCTGTGGGCATCCAGGGCTGTGGAACGGCTCAGCCTGGCCCTTGCCAGGGACTGTGGGGTCTCCTCTGCTCACTGCCTGCAGGGGCAATGCAGACAGTGGAGATTGCAGGACATTACCACCCCACTCAAGATAAAATGGTTTGGTTTGGAAGGGACCTTAAAGATCATCTAATTCCAACCCCCCTGCTGTGGGAGAGACACCCTCCACTAGACCAGGTTGCTCAGACCCCCATCCAACCTGGGAAGGATGCTTGCTGGGCTTACAGACATCCTCTGAAATGGGCATTATTTGTGGTCATTCAAAAAGCAAATGCCCTGGCTTAGCATGTGGAGTCCGAAAAATCACACACAGAGATTGTCCAGTGCTGAGAACATCTGAAGCCTGACACATGGCAGAAGTACACATGTGGGGTCCAAAAGAGGTGTCACCATCTCCACTGACACTTGGTCTCCTCTGAGTTGGCATTGTTGTGTGTCACAGTAAAGTCCTCATGACCTGCATAGTGCAAAACACTGTTCCCAAATGCTGTTAGAACTGCTCCCTGCTGCTGCTTAATGCCACTGGGAGAGCGATCCATGGAGCTCCAGTGCTGCAGCCATTGGCATGGCTGGCTTAGCAAATGGAAGCTTTGTTTTGAGCTTTCTGTAATAAAATACCATGCTGCTGGGACACACAGGCTAGCTAGGGTTTCACTGCCCGCTTAAGAAAATGAGGGCAAAGAGTGATTAAATATTAAGTGGGATGCAAGATCTCAGCACATGCAGTTCATGTGGTAACCTGAGGATGGGCTGGAGGTAAATGTGGCTTCCTAGATACCTGAGAGGGTACTACAGCAACCCATCCTGGCCAGCAAGAGGAGCTTTGGGGTTCCTCCAACAGTCTCCAGAGACCTCAGAGGTGACAGGTATGGCCATGGAGAGACAGCAAGATGAGGATCCTTGGAATACCTGTATCCTTTTCTATTTAGCTTTCTACCTCTTCTGTAAATCAAGCACCATTTCTGGCAGCAGTAGACTGTTTAGCAGGCTACACTGACATCAAACAGAAGATACTAATGAAAATAACAGAAAAGAGATTTGTGATTAATGCAGAAACTCCCTCCCCCTCCCCGCCCCAGGATGAACCATATCCTAAAGCCTCTCCTTCAAGCAAAGCTACTGCTGACAAGAAAGTTATTGGCCTTTCTTACACTGCAGAGCAAGACTTCTGAAAGGCAGCTTTTACCATGTGTGTGTCTATCTGCATGCACATGTCCCTGGGCCTCCCCATGCCTACAGATACAGAGGTACACACAGCTCCTTCCACAGCAGCACATTTGGCAGCAGGCGTTGACTCCTGAGCTCACTTCAGCATTAGCAGTGGGCAACATGGAATTATTTCCTCACCACTCCCATTAGCAGTTGGCTCTTCTTGAGGAGGATCCACACCTTGGCTGCTGTTACCTGGTCAGGTGCAAATGCTGCAAGGGCTCCTGCTCCACTCCCTCCCTCCCTGGCACAAATGTGGGCAAGTAAATCCGGATAAGTCAAGGCTCTTTCCTTTCTGAGACCCTTAGACCTGCACTCCTAAATTCCAACATTCTACAGCTCTTCTAGTGATTTTAACTTCCATAATCTCCCTTACCCCATACCCCCTTGGAAACACTTAAAGATGTTATGTTTTTCTGATATAAGCTGTGCCAAAGCTTGATTCCTTTAAGAAGACAAACTGGCAGTGGAAACATTGACAGCTATACAGGGAAATATTGTATTGCTTAAAGAACTTTATTTAGATTGCTCCATTGTGGGGAGAGTTGCTTTTTGTTTTGTTTTGTTTTGATTTTGTTTTTCATTTTGGACGGTGCAAAAGACACCATAAAATTAGCTACAGTATTAGTCTGGTGATTTGTACACGGCATGTTCATGTGCCTTCAAAATTAAAAGAAATCATAATAAAACTAAGAAAATAAATAGCCTTGAGAGGACTAATCCCTTTCCTCCATTCTCTCAGCAGCCACCAAGCCAGCAGGGATCCCAGGAGGGCAGGAACGGCAGAGCCTGGGCGTGGAGGATGCTTGGGAAGGCTTTGTTGCTCTGCCATAGGGATATTAATGTTTCTGGCCAGCTGACAGCATGTGTGGCAAACGTAAACATTTGGCTCCAGCAAAGAGATGCAGACAAGGGGGGCGAGTTGTGCACACGATGAAAAGGTTGGTCATGGGCCCACGGCATCCTCGGGGAGAAGTGGGCACGGGCAGAGAGCACAGGGAGATGCAGGATCCAGGGAAGGACAGTGCTTTTGCAGGGGAGCAGGCGCTTGATGCTTCTGCAGCCTTCTGGGGTCCAGGGAGGAGTAGGAAACCGGGGAAATGCACCACTGGGGGCACATTAGGAGGCTGAGGAAAGCACTCAGAGCTGTATAGAGGATGCTTGCAGCAATGCTTTTGACTGTGGTGGGTGTTGCATCAAAACAGCACCATTTTGCAGGGAATGGGGGAAATAAGTGGGTAAAGAGCACCCAGGCCTCTGCTTTCCAGCTCTTTCCAAGCAGACCAGCTGTCCACACTAGTTCAGGATTAATTCATGCTCTGGGTTCATTACAGCCATTTTTTAAAGCTGGAGCCTTGCCCTGTACATCCTCAGCCACAGCAGTATCCCTGTGCTGCTGCCTGGGGCCAGTGAGCCTTTGGGCTCTTACCTTCCTGAAGGGGAAAGCAAGGGAATTTTGCATTTTTTCAGCCTCTAATCCAAGTAAATGAAAAATAACTTTGTAAATATTTCAAAAATACGTTAAGGCCTTAGGCAGCCTGAGGAGAAGGGGTACAAGGTGCTGCTATGCCCAGGGGTGTTACAAACCTCTCTGACTGGCTCATGCTGCTGCAGGATGGGTGTTGTGTAGTGGCTGCTCTCTTGCAGCTGCCACATGTGCTTGTGCATGTGTGTGAAATGGGCTAACTTGGCTTTTCCTTCTTCTGAATGTTCAGCATAAGCAGAGAATAATAAAATGCAATTTTTCTACAGGGACCAGAGGAAACAAATTACTGCCCGGGTGTAGCTGAGGGCAGAGTCTGGCACATTATTTTCTATGTAATAATTCCCACATAATTCTTGTGAAAACCCAGCTTTTTTTTTTTTTCCTTCTCATTTTTCTACTTCTTTAAACTTTCCAAAATACTCTGCTGTAACATATTTTCCTCAGTCACATGTGTTAGTGAGGAGAGAAAAGGTTAAATTCTCCTTTCCTACTATAATGTAATTCATTTCCTGTTTTTCACAACTGTCTAGACACAGATCTAACAAGCATTAACCCTGAATCCCACCATTGGGTTAAAAATAGAGGCTTTAAATATAAAAGTGTGTGGTAAGAGTAAGATTGTAGGTTTCTACCTACCACCAGGAGACAGCACTTTTAAATGAGAACCATTTAATTAGCTATAAGTAACAAAAAAATTACTTCAGTTTCAGAGGTTTAAAAAGGCTCCTGGTTGCTTTATATATACCAGCAGTAATACAGGCTCTGCTGAGCTGTGGCATGGACAGGTTGATTCCCCGTCAGGAGTTATATTTGTCTGGATTTACACCTCCAGCTATATTAAAAAAAGAAAGAATAAATTCCGCTTCAGTCGGAGAGCTATAAAAGGATTGGGAGAAAGTAGTTAAACAGAGGACCAATGTTGAAACCATGGTCAGCTTCTGGTGGGAAATGGACATGGAAAAAATATGCCCCAGGTCCAGCTGAGGGTGCCCCAAATCCAAGGGGAAAAGCGAGGGCCACAGTACCAAGAGAGGCAAGGCCGCAGTGTTGGGTGCCAGCCCGGCACAGCACTGGGATGCTTGCAGTCATGCCAGACCCAGAGGGGCTCTCAGCAGCTTAGGCTGGATCACAAATGTGGTTTTTGGGCTGGAGGCTGGCCCCAGGCTGAGCCAGGCAATTGCCCCTGTGGGTGTGCAGTCTCCTCGGACACCTCCCACCAGCTGAGCTGCCACACTGGAGTGGGAGGAAGGAGAGAAAGAGATTTCTGGCTTGGAAATGAACTAAATCCCTCACAAAAGTGAGAGTTTTGCCTATGGAGGCAAAGCAAGAAAAAGCAAAACTGTAGCCCAGCCCAGCTTGGCCCAGGGTGCAGACAAGGAGTGAGACAGCTTCTTGGCTGACAGTTTATTACACACACCTTTCACATCAAAGATTACCCACAGAGACATCATATTTTATGTGCTTCAAGAATAAAAATAAATGCTGGTAAGGATTAGCTTAACCCAATGCTTTTGCCCTGCTAAAATGAATCAAAATTCTTGGTGTGCTGTGACAAGGAAGAACTTGCATTTCCTGCGCTGTGTTTCTGTGTCTGCGAACACAAATCCCATGGGGTGGTTTGTTTATTTATCCTGTGAAGCTCGGAGTGGGTGTCTTTCCTGTCCCACCACCCACTTCTAGCCACTGCATTAAAGCAGCAGCACCTTTGGGAGCTCTGGATGGACCTGGCACCTCAGCTGCAAACCTGTGGGAGCTGCTGTCTGTATTCAAGGTCTGTTCTGACCAGGACTGAAATTATCCAAGGAAAACGTATCAAAAAGAAATTTGTTTGTTTTCAACTAAAAAGTACAGTATATTATGCATCAAGAACAGTGAGGAGTGAACTGGTGTCCTTCCATATTAGAGAAGGCCTTTGAACCCACATGAGTTATTTATAGAGCCTTATGGAAAACAGCTCTTCCCAATTTCTGCAATTTTGATCACAGGAACAGCTCAGGTTTTGTCAAAAATAAAGCAATCCCCTACACAGTTCACTGGGGTTTACCCCTGTAAAGCAGCAAAACAGAGATGAGGATTACGGAAAGATGGAGCAAAGCAGAGTCATAATTTTAATATTCATTGTGTCAGAGGTTTTCAAAATGCTTTTTTGCTGAATTGTACTTCTTTTATTAGGCTCTAAGACAGACAGTGAGGGCACTCCAAGGAGATATACAGAGTGACTTGTTATCAATCAAGGCAGACCCCCGCCACTGTTTCAGGATGCCTCTCCCTCTATCCCTGACTGCACTTAAAAGGGTGGAGGTGGTAGCAGAAATAACATGAAAATGGGGCCAAACATACTCCTAAAAAGAGTCAGTATTCCCCTTAAAGGATTTGGTCTTTGCACATTTAATCTATTAAAATAAGTAAAGCTTGTTATATTCAAAAAAGTTTGAATAAGGAATAGGTCTTAACAACAGCTTTGTCTTGTTTAAAAGGCTTTGTGATCTTGTCTCATCCTACATTTCTAGAGACTTGTGTCTGGGGGGGTGCAACCCTCTCTAGCTGCAGATCTGAGTCACAGCATAACTACAGAGACTTAGGAAACCACTCAAACATACCTTACATGACAGTGCAAATAAGATTGAAAACATAACATATGCATTTTGTACTTTTTTTTCCATAGCTGGCATAGCTTTCATGAGGCAAGTAGTCCTCTTTTACCATGATACTACTGCCAACCAGAGGCACATGTCATTTGCCTTCTCAACTGCTTTTCCCCAGTTTATTAGGAGTTACTGCAGTGGGCTCCTACTCACATACCCTCTGAGTAGGAACCTGGGTCAGACTGTTTGCAGTCCTGATACTAACAAGATGCAATCGTTCCTCACCCCCAAAAAAAGATTAAAAAATGATCACTCAGGTAATATGACTAGGAAAAACCCAATATTTTTAAGTCAAACTGGAGTTGAAGGTCTAATCTGAGCACTGATCTCTTTTGGGGCAGCAATCACTCCTGTGCTGTAGGCAAGTACAGATTCATGAGCACAAGCTCCCCGTGAGCACCATTTCTGTTAGAAGTGAGGGCTCATTTCCTTTTGAGACATGATGTAACAATAGCTCTGGGATGTTCTGCTGCAACAACAAGCCAAGTTCTGCATGTTCCTGCAGAAAAGTCTGCTTCCAGTCATCAGAAGCTCAAGGCTGATAAGGTCACCACCTTGGAAGCAATGAGACAACCATCTCTGTGGTTCACATTGTTTGAACATTTATTGCAATTCAGTGTCAAAAATGTTTTACAAAAATACTGTCTGCACAGAACAGCTGTAAAAATCAGTTGAACATGCAAGAGGAAA